AAACCACTGACTGGAAGATCTTCCATGATGCAGCAGACACAGACATTAATGAATACACTGACTCTGTTACCGATTATATCAGTATCTGCATCAAATCATTCCCAAATCAGAAACCCTGGATAAATGTTGATGTCAGGACAAACTTAAAGCACGCACTTCAACTCCGTGGCATATAGGCAGTCCAGGTATGAACTTCAGAGGGCCGTCGGGAATGCAAAGAGAGAGATAAGATGGTAGCAAACTATCAAGAATCTGACATCAAGCGCATGTGAGATAATCTGCACTCGATCACAGACTACAAAAACCTGCGATATGGGTACGTCTGCCTCTCTATCTGATGAACCGAACATCTTCTATGCGAGGTTTGAGAATAGCAATGCCTTCCCTGCAGTGAAATTTCCAGCAGACGATAACAAAGGTGTTTTAAATATCTCTCTACCTGAAGTGTTCAGAACGTTCAGAGCGGTCAACCCACGACAATCACCAGGTCCTGATGGTGTCCTTAAAGCCTGTGCCAGCCAGCTAGCGGAGGCTTTTACAGATATTTTTAATCTCTCACTTAGGATGTCTGTGACCCCCTTCTGCTTTAAGAAAGCCATCATTGTCCCTCGCAAGGCTCTCTCTTTTACACGCGATGTCTGAGGAAGGCTCGCAAAATCCCCCAGCACAGTATTCAATCCAGAACCAGCAGATTGAAGAACAGCTTCTACCTACAGGCCATCAGAACTCGAAACACTATGTGATGCTCACTACACGCCTTACAAATATCTATATCACATTTTCCTCATGAGGACTATTTTTCTTTACAAAGATCATTTGCACTTTAAAAACAGACTGCACATACTACAAGCAGGGCCGTTTTAACCATAGGGCTAGGCAGGGCTGAAGCCCCGGGGCCCGAGCAAGGAGGGGGCCCGTGATTGGCTGTGGGGTAAAATGACTGTCGCGCCGATTGCCAAAGCCACCACGGCCCCCATTTATTAGCGCTATTATTTAGTTGAGCTTTTCCGTAAATTCCATGCATTACAATTTGGAAATTGAAAAGTAAAGTCTGAATTTGGTTTACCAATCAAATGCATTTATTCTATATTTGACTTTTGAACGATATGCTCATGTATCTATCAGGTGATCGCTGCACAGTATGTCTGCATTCACCTCTCTTCACTTTGTTCTGGAGTAATCTGGAAATGGTCGCGCAAAGAACAACATTCAATAAGTAAAAATGTCAGCAATTCTAAAAGAGAGAGGGGCTATCAGGTGATTGCTGCCCAGTATGTCTGCATTCACCTCTATTCACTTTGTTCTGGAGTAATCTGGAAAAGGTCGCGCAAAGAACAACATTCAATAAGTAAACATGTCAGCAATTCTAAAAGAGAGAGGGGCTCAAAAAACGAAAAACTTCAAATACAAACAACATAAAAACATGACTTTGTAAATTCCCCAGCTATCAGGTTGTTTTACTAAAGCTGAAGTGTCTGGAACAGCAAGTGAACCGGGCCACGGAGCAGATAAAAACAGTCATTGTCCACACAGATTTTAGGTTAGTTTGATTATTAACTGGATTTATATTGTTTTTGTGTTTGAACAAACTATATTCATTTAAGGGTTGGGAGATAATCCGGTAGAAATATATCAATCGTTGATTGAAGCGCGTCATGATGTAGTCTAAGCTTCCCCGTTGTACCCTATATATATATATATATATATATATCATTATTGTGATGGG